AAAACACAAGCTCAAATTATCCGATTAGAATGTCGCCTTAATTGTAACAATAAATACTTCATCCCGTTTTTTATACCTTTAGGGCGCAATTTTTGCTCGAAATCAATATGGGGCTCCCACGGCACGGTAAAAATAAAGATATAGATATTTCATTTTACAAATATGGATACAGTCATAGAATACTATAATACCAATAGAACGGGGGAATGGGCGGAGCCCGTGTAGCCACTAAAATGTCACTAACATGTCAATTCACACGTATAACTGTCAACACGAGATGTGTTTTGACGTTAAATCGTTTCCAAATTTCGCACGAAAATTATTTAGAAAATGCCAGATTGCACATTATTTACAAATAAATATGTATTAAAATTTAAACGATTTTTTTTTATGATGATCTTGAACATTAATCAAAAGTCTAAAATGTTTAAATTTACTCAGTCTGTCAACATAGCGAATCGGGTTTGTAGTAGTGATAATACGACGTAATTGCTTATATGTGTACTCGCGGCGACGCCGACCCTCGTACAAAATAAGGTTGACAGCCATTCTATTGTGTATTATAGTATTCTATGGGTACAGTACATGGTAATATAAGTAGTGACTTCAGCCATATTTTACCAATAGGTATGCAAAAAAAGTACAGAATTATGAACTAATTCACTAAACAAATCTACTAAACTATAACAAAAAATAAACAACAACAACCAAAAAAAACACCATATTTAAAAAAAATGTATCACTATAGTCAGTTCAGAATTGGCAAATATACCACATAGCACCTGTATGTAAGTACACAAATCTTACATAGGTACACTCGGATTTAGTATTTTCTCCTTTTTGAAGTCGGATAAAAATAATCTAACCTACTAAGTATTTACCAATATTTTGAGATGTTTACGTTTTTTAATTTGTTTATAACTAAACTCTACTGCTTTAGATTATGTGTCTTGAAATATAATCTCAAAAAAATCTAGGTAGGTACAAGTGTACTGTGTGACTTTCAACAACGAGGATATAACGTTATACTTAATATAACCAACTAAGTCAATGTGCCGATCTTAGTAATCAGGTCTGAAAGCGTAGCTGCATTTTGATTCTTAATCGAGAATAGATACTTACCGTATGGGCTTTAGTAACCACTTACCATCTAGTGGATAATGTACTTGTTTGTCACCCTTCCTTCAATAAAAAATTTTGTACATATTAATTAAGGGGGATATAACGAGTTATTCCCTAAATGCCAATCTCACCTGCACGTGATGCATCCTGCTAATTAATGAAAGCGAGTTGAAACAGAATCAGAAACTTTTTTTTTCAATATAGATTATAAATAATTATTATTGCAAGTCACTTTTTTTAATTAACCCTTCCTGTGAAGAACCGGCAAGAAACCCAGCCGGACAATTTTTTAAATAACAGCTTACAATCATATATGTTACAATTAACAACACTCTGCTTACTAAAAAGTGAGTGCTCTCTGGTGAACACACTGGTGAAAAAACTGGTGATACATATATACTCGTACATAACAGTTAACACAGTCTTCGAGGGGGGGTACGCAGGACTACGGACCTCGATCCCGACACACCTCTCTCGTCGGTTAAAGGTTAAAATAGTTAAATGCTTTCAAATAAACCCATGCCGTAAGTTGCTGTTCTCATCATACTTGTTTGAATAACATTATAAAATCTTATGCAATATCTGTATACAACAAATGCTAACTACTAGTTAAACTTAACATCGCTCTCTGTACTTAGGATTCCACCAAATCCTAAACTGTTAGTTCTCATCATACTTGTTTGAATAACATTATAAAATCTTATGCAATATCTGTATACAACAAATGCTAACTACTAGTTAAACGTTAACATCGCTCTCTGTACTTAGGATTCCACCAAATCCTAAACTGAACGTTTGAATAACATTAATCTGAATATCTGTATAACTTCTTAAATCCCTCTGTACTTATTCCACCAAATCCTAAACTGAGTTCTCATCATACTTGTTTGAATAACATTATAAAATCTTATGCAATATCTGTATACAACAAATGCTAACTACTAGTTAAACGTTAACATCGCTCTCTGTACTTAGGATTCCACCAAATCCTAAACTGTTTATATACCGTCCGTTGTTTCACTAACGTGTCATTGTTAAGTGCAGCGCACAACGCGCACACATTTTCAGACGAGGATGGGTCGTGATAGGTGTAGTGATTCTTCCATCTGAAGTAGCTATTGTATAAAATAGGAGACTGCATCAAACCAGATATGGTGTCAGCCAAGTCTCTGGGAGACATCTTCAGGGCATCTAGATACGTATCCGGAGGTAAGAACCTTGTATAATTTGCGCCACCATATACAATAGGCACTCATGAACATCATGTTTCAGAGCTGTCAGAAGTTTCTCTGTAACATAATCTTCCGCGAATGAATTCTCTAAAGACATGTAAAAGAAATAATCCCGTTCTAACATATCGTCACAACTGTTTTTAGCATATCTAGGGCATTTCAATGGGCCGCAATCGCCATACACGTCTACAGCTAATCCATGTCGTTGCAAATATTTTTGTAAATTTCTTACTAACGCTTTTCTTCCACTCCTACTAGAACAATTTGACACGAACCATGCCGCTGCCTTGCTCTTATTCCCCTTGAACATTACATCTTCTTCAACTGATAGATAACTGTGATACTACGCTCGAAGTTGTCGCTGAGTTTAATATCGAGGAGAAATTGGATTATTACAAAAGTGTATTAACAAAGTCCTCCAAACAGAATTATTGCCACAGCCACCAGCTCCAACGGAGACAAGCCATTTACGCAGAACAGGATTACAATGCCCAAGTGTTTTCGCGAGCACATGTGCACTATCTATTCCCTCACTATCATAGTCCGATGCGACGATAATCTGACACCCGAGAGAGATCAGGCGCAAGACTAGCCTTTACGTTCTTAATGTGGCAAGAGGTTGAAACACTGCCAGCTTTGCTACTGAGAATTCCTTGTCAGGAAAATCTGACAACCCATTTTCCCATGATCTACAGTAGTATTTACAACTATTAGACCTATTAGGCAGTCACTACCTACCTACCTGTAACTTGACATTCGTGTAAGTAACAAGTCGCAGACTTGATCTTTAATTAACCGTTTCCGTTAATGCCTAGTTTGGTAAATAGAGAACGTCGCATAATTAAAGACCTAAATTACTAGGCAATTTCAAGCAAAATAGCTAAGTACAATATCGCCTTACACTTTTAGTTGGAAGGTATATTTAACTTTAGTGGAATTTTGACGAGCCAAACACCATAATAACTCAGTGGCAATGCGATAGTACATATCATCGTCATCATCATTCACATCGTCTTTTATCAGCCTGTCGAAAGTTCGTAGCTAAACATAGGCTTTCCCAATATAGGGAATATTTGCCATAGCCACGCTTGGCTATCGCATTTTTTTAAATTATTTGGAGATGTTTTTAAGAAGATGTTGCTACCCATCCACCAGACGGTATGGGGTACTGGATATTCTTACAACGCCGGGTATTTACCGTGTAGCGGCGGTTACTATACATCATATATAGTATGAGAGATGATTTTTTTCTTCAGTCATACTGCTGCAGGAAATTCACATCAGACTAGGCTGTATGGTATAAGATCTTTGCCTGTCTTAATTGGCTAAGCGTTACAACTAGTCAATTTAGTTTTATATTATATACCCATTATGACTTTTTCCCAGAATGATAGGCCATAAGTTTTATTACCGTGAGTTTGCACTGACGCGATTTTCACAAAAAACATGTTTTAAACACTGTTTTCTGTCAATGTATCAAAAACGTTTGCATAGTCAAAGAACACGTTGTAATGAAATATGATTGACAGTTTATTGTACATTACATATTTTAACTATATTTTATCTTTATAAGTACAGAAACAAAATGTTTGATAACAGATTTGTAGAAGTATTGTCTTGTTGAAAGATAAGTTTGAATATCGTTGAAAATTTTACACAATTTTTGTGAGTGCGAACGCCAACATCAACAAAACATTTTGTGTGATTTATTTTATGCGATTTGTTTCCAAACATTACGTGTCGGATGTTTCTCAGTGCAAAACGTACTGTTAGATCATATACAGTAAATTATTTTATTGATATCTGTACTTGTGATGTAAGTAGACGTTTAATAATTCCATCAACAATTTGCCACAACAACTAGTCAATTTAGTTTTAAATTAGGTAAGATTATTTTTTTTCAGACTTCGATAGGCCATACGCTAGATTAGATCAAACGTAGTATATTATTTTATTAATATCTGTTACAGTGACATAAGTAGACGCTTAATAATTCAATCGACAATTATTTCGCTAATGTCCTGCCTGTGTATAAAAGCCCTTTGCAATCTCACAATCTTATCAAAGTTATGAAAAATTATATACGGTCTAGCGCTGAGCTTTGAACTTGCATTTCTCAGAGGGCTATATAGCACTGGAAAAATTGCCCGAGTAGTTCCAGTACAAATTTGAGATCGACAACATGATAGCCCGATGGTAAGAGAATTCTGTGACCCATCGGCTCCTACTAAATAGTTTCTTAATTTTAAAATCAATTACAGATGCATTATAATCACTCAGCACTACGATGAAGTATCTCTTTACCAATAAAATAGATCTCCGGTTCTATGGACTTTTAACGCTGGTGTTCCATAAGAGTGTAGTCCTTTCTCAGTCCAGACTCGTTCGTGCTGCAGTCGTAGTACGCTGCAGCACTGGCTATAGCCATGGAACGTTTCTCAGAATCTCTTTCTTCATAGTACGCTGCAGCACTGGCTATATCCATGGAACGTTTCTGAGAATCTCTTTCTTCATAGTACGCTGCAGCACTGGCTATAGCCATGGAACGTTTCTCGGAATCTCTTTCTTCATAGTACGCTGCAGCACTGGCTATAGCCATGGAACGTTTCTCAGAATCTCTTTCTTCATAGTACGCTGCAGCACTGGCTATAGCCATGGAACGTTTCTCGGAATCTCTTTTTTCACGTATGCTGCAGCACTGGCTATAGCCATGAAACGTTTCTCAGAATCTCTTTCTTCATAGTACGCTGCAGCACTGGCTATAGCCATGAAACGTTTCTCGGAATCTCTTTCTTCATAGTACGTTACAGCACTGGCTATAGCCATGGAACGTTTCTCGGAATCTCTTTCTTCATAGTACGTTACAGCACTGGCTATAGCCATGGAACGTTTCTCGGAATCTCTTTCTTCATAGTACGTTACAGCACTGGCTATAGCCATGGAACGTTTCTCAGAATGTCTTTCTTCATAGTACGCTGCAGCACTGGCTATAGCCATGGAACGTTTCTCAGAATCTCTTTCTTCATAGTACGCTGCAACACTGGCTATAGCCATGGAACGTTTCTCGGAATCTCTTTCTTCATAGTACGTTACAGCACTGGCTATAGCCATGGAACGTTTCTCGGAATCTCTTTCTTCATAGTACGTTGCAGCACTGGCTATAGCCATGGAACGTTTCTCGGAATCTCTTTCTTCATAGTATGCTGCAGCACTGGCTATAGCCATGGAACATTTCTCAGAATCTCTTTCTTCATAGTACGCTGCAGCACTGGCTATAGCCATGGAACGTTTCTCAGAATGTCTTTCTTCATAGTACGCTGCAGCACTGGCTATAGCCATGGAACGTTTCTCAGAATCTCTTTCTTCATAGTACGCTGCAACACTGGCTATAGCCATGGAACGTTTCTCGGAATCTCTTTCTTCATAGTACGTTGCAGCACTGGCTATAGCCATGGAACGTTTCTCGGAATCTCTTTCTTCATAGTACGTTGCAGCACTGGCTATAGCCATGGAACGTTTCTCAGAATCTCTTTCTTCATAGTACGCTGCAGCACTGGCTATAGCCATGGAACGTTTCTCGGAATCTCTTTCTTCATAGTACGTTGCAGCACTGGCTATAGCCATGGAACGTTTCTCAGAATCTCTTTCTTCATAGTACGCTGCAGCACTGGCTATAGCCATGGAACGTTTCTCAGAATCTCTTTCTTCATAGTACGTTGCAGCACTGGCTATAGCCATGGAACGTTTCTCAGAATCTCTTTCTTCATAGTACGCTGCAGCACTGGCTATAGCCATGGAACGTTTCTCAGAATCTCTTTCTTCATAGTACGCTGCAGCACTGGCTATAGCCATGGAACGTTTCTCAGAATCTCTTTCTTCATAGTACGTTGCAGCACTGGCTATAGCCATGGAACGTTTCTCAGAATCTCTTTCTTCATAGTACGATGCAGCACTGGCTATAGCCATGGAACGTTTCTCAGAATCTCTTTCTTCATAGTACGTTGCAGCACTGGCTATAGCCATGAAACGTTTCTCAGAATCTCTTTCTTCATAGTACGCTGCAGCACTGGCTATAGCCATGGAACGTTTCTCAGAATCTCTTTCTTCATAGTACTGTAGCAGCCAGATTAATCAAACCTAAACGGGAATAAATAATATATACTCCGCTGCTACCATAACGCGGAAGGCGAGAATAAATAAAAAAACATTTTATTTCCTAATTATTCTTGGCTACTGGGATACTGCGGACTGTATATAGATAATTTGACGTTCTTATAAAGAAACAAGAAGCAGCCGCAAATATCATTCAGCGCCACACCGACTTCACACGCCGCTATCGTCACGTATCCGTCGACCAATGGTGAGCCGTTTCTTCAACGCCGCAGTTCGTTTCCTCTTGCTGTTCCGGAGCTGTATTCCACACCGCCGCCGCCCGCCGACTACGCGTGCGCACCGATCTGCATGTCTTATATAGCCCGGTCCAGCGACGTAGCTTCGTGAACAACAAACAAGTCTCACGCCGGGAAACGAAACGTAGATAATTGTATATTTTAAATAGTTTTCATTGGTCATAAAATAAGCAATATAATTGGCTAGGCAAAATATTAATTGTTACCATTGGCAAATCAATAGTGAGCCAGCCATATAAATATCGGCAAGGTTGATGCAAAAGATATTCCATATTCCATTCCGAATCCCATTCGACAGTACCTTCATAAACATAAACAGTAGTTTCATTTCTCCACCTTAAAGAAAACCACTCGGAGTCTGTTAATAGTGGACAGTTCGTCTCCACTATTACAGTGGTGACCCCGTACGAACACCGAGGGGGGAAGATCCGGTACGAACACCAAGAAGGAACACCCTGCGACGTACCACTACTATTGCACGAACACCGCGAAGGAAACCCGTACGAACACCGAGAAGGAAGACTTCAGTTTATATAAAATCAGTGTAATCAAGCCGTCATTATGGAGCAGGAGGCAAACACATATACATCAAATCCGGTAAAGGAACCAGAAATCGCCGGTATATCTCTATCGTTAAGAATACCACCGTTTTGGAGAGACAAACCACGACTTTGGTTCGTCAGTTTTGAAGCCGCAACGAATGGTTTAAAGAAGAGCCAAGCGCAATTAGCACAGATGGTGATAGCCCAACTTGAGAAACAAGACATCGAACAAATTGCGGACCTGTTGTACAACCCACCAGCAGTCGACCAGTATAATTCACTGAAGGATCGGCTGATCTCCGCATATGAAGAATCCGACAGTCGACAGCTACAAAAACTTCTATCAGAAAAAGAACTTGGAGACCAGAAACCCACACAACTCCTACGCAAAATGCGTACTTTGGCGCGAGATAAAGTTCCGGATTCAACACTACGGCTAATGTGGGTAAACCACCTACCACCACATATTCGATCGGTAATAGCAGTCAGCGAAACATTCAGCACGCAGACGAAGCTCGACGAACTGGCACTCCTGGCGGACAAGATGATCGAAAACAGCAGTAGCTCACACATATCGATCATCGAAGGCACTTCAACAAAAGCCAATGATACCCAGTTTCTTCTCGAAGAAATTCGGAAGCTATCATTCGAAGTCGCCGCGCTCAAAGCTTCCCAGCATCATACCTTTTACCAGCAACAGTACAACCAGCGCAATCAGCAACACCGAAGATCACCTTTTCGTCGCAACCGCTCTGCAAGTAGAAGTCGAATAAGCTCAACATCAAGATCCCCTTACTGCTACTATCATCGACGTTTCGGGGTCGAGGCAAGAAAATGCACAGCACCGTGTACATTCAAAAATGAAAATACGAATACGGAAAACTAACTAGTACGCTCGATGCGACGGGATCCAGCGTAACAGCAAAGTCCTACCGTCTTTTCGTCACCGATAAAAAAAGCAAGCTCACTTTCCTTATCGACACCGGAGCAAATATCTCAGTGTTACCGCCGAAGCAAGGACAGAAGTTGAAGCCACTAGATTTTCAACTCTATGCAGCAAACAATACGGTTATTCCTACATATGGAGAAAAAACAATGGAACTTGATTTTAATCTACGCCGACCATTCAAATGGAGATTTATCGTCGCTAAAGTCAGCAAACCAATCATCGGTGCTGATTTTCTTCAACATCACCAGTTGGTCGTCGACATCAAAAATAGAAGAATCATCGACGGGAAAACCAATCTTGCATCTCAGTCTTTTGTACAAGCAACCAATCTGCCCACAATAAGAAGCATAGATGTGCAACAACCGTATCACAAGATCCTCGAAGAATACCCTGGTATCACAAGAATAACTTCAATGAAATTAACACCGAAGAACGACGTTGAGCATTTCATCGACACCAATGGACCACCACTTCATTGTCGTGCACGTCCAATCGCACCACACCTATACGAGCAAGTTCGAAAGGAATTCGAAAACATGATTGAGCAAGGAATATGCCGTCCAAGCAAAAGCCCTTGGTCATCACCACTTCACATTGTACCGAAGAAAAACGGAGAATTACGAGTTTGTGGAGATTACAGAAGACTGAATTCTATTACCACTCCTGACCGCTACCCAATACCGCGAGTCAGGGATTTCACTCATCAACTATCAGACAAGACTATATTCTCCACCATCGATCTCAACCGAGCTTACCAACAAATAAGAGTCCGCGATGAAGACATAGAGAAGACAGCAATAATTACCCCAATGGGATTATTCGAATTCCCAAGAATGATCCCAGGATTAAAGAACGGAGGTCAAACTTTCCAAAGATTCATACACGAAGTACTTCATGGACTGGATTTCGTTTTCGCATTTATTGATGATCTCCTTGTTGCAAGCCCTGATAAAGAAACGCACGAAACCCATCTACGCACCGTGCTACAGCGATTAGAAGACAACGGAATCACAATCAACCCTTCGAAATGCATATTTGGACAGCAAGAAGTTCAATTTCTTGGTTTCACCGTCAGCAAGGAAGGAATAAAACCGCCTGCCGAAAAAGTCAGAGCAATCATCGATTATGCAAAACCTAAAACTATCGAAGAGCTAAGGCGTTTTCTCGGGATGATAAATTTTTACAGAGAACACATACCTAAAGCCGCTGAAATCCAAGCACCACTTCACGCCTACCTTCACAACACGAAGAAAAAAGATAAAACGTCAATCGAATGGAACGATGAAGCCACGAAGGCATTTGAAGCTTGTAAAATTGCGATCCAAAATGCAGCTTTACTCGCTCACCCATCACACGAAGCAACCCTTGCTATCTTCAGCGACGCATCCGATCTCTCAGCAGGAGCAGTTCTCCAACAATACAGCAATGGGAAATGGCAACCACTTGGATATTTTTCGAAGAAGTTCTCCGATACTCAACGTAACTACAGTACATTCGACCGAGAGCTACTCGCTATTTACATGGCTATCAAGCACTTCAGAAAAACGTTCGAGGGTCGAAACCTGATCGTTTTTACCGACCACAAGCCATTAACATATGTACTTCCAAAGAAACCATCACTATCGGAAACACCACGAAGAGCAAGACAACTTATTTTCATAAGTGAATTCACGACCGACATACGTCACATCAGTGGAAAGGACAACATAGTTGCCGACGCACTCAGTCGCGTACCAATCGACAGTGTAACGTGCCCTACATCAATCGACTATCATAAGATCGCCGCAGCACAAGACAGAGATAGTGACAACATAAAACATCTATCGAAGCAAGGTAACTTGTCCATCAAGCAAGTTACAATGCCAATGACGCATCTACCTATATACTGTGAAGCCTCAACGACAACCATGCGACCATACATACCAGAAGAATGTCGTCGCGAAGTCTTCAATGCACTGCACAACATGAGTCATCCAGGTGTTAGAACAACAAGAAAACTCATCACTGAAAAATTCTTTTGGCCTGCAATGCAAGCGGATGTTGGCAACTGGGCGAAGCAATGCATTCAATGCCAAAAATGCAAAGTACAAAGGCATACATCAAGTAGTCTAGCTACATTTCCACCCACGGAGAGATTCGAACACTTGCACGTTGACATCGTTGGACCATTACCTACTTCACCGCAAGGACATCGTTATCTCGTAACAATGATCGACAGAACAACAAGATGGCCAGAAGCAATACCTACCGATGATACTTCAGCCGAATCCGTCGCGAAGATAATTTATGAAAATTGGATTACTCGTTTCGGATCACCTAAAACCATCACAACGGATCAAGGAAGGAATTTCGAAAGCAACCTATTCCTCAAACTTCTTCAAACTATGGGAATACAGAAGACGCGTACAACAGCATACCATCCTCAGTCAAACGGAATAATCGAACGATGGCATCGTACATTAAAGACTGCACTCAAAACTCGTTTATCTCAACATACAAAGTGGATTGATGAGCTACCTACAGTGCTACTCGGACTACGAGCAACACCGCGTGCAGACACTAGTCTTAGCGCCGCTCAGCTAACCTACGGCTGCAGCATAAGGCTGCCGTGTGACTTCTTCAGTTCAGCAGCGTCAAACAAACAAGAAATGGATTACGATTTCGTAACTAAACTTCGAGAATCAATTAACAAAGCCTTATCGTTGAAATGCACCGAAATGCAATCACACAGAAATAATAAATCAGTATTCATTCACCAAGATTTGAAAACATGCAAACAAGTTTTTGTAAGAAACGACGCAATGAAAAAACAATTTCAACCTACCTACGATGGACCGTATAAAGTATTAGAGAGAAATAGCAAGACTTTTAAACTACAAATACCCGGAAGGAAATCTACGATTATATCGATCGACCGACTAAAGCCTGCCTATATTATTAACGAGGATACTGCAGAGGATTCATCATCATCATCAAAACCACCAGCGAGGAAGCTTGAAACTTCATCATCTACATCAACCCAGTTGAAACCTATTTTAAAAACTACGAAATACGGGCGAGTCGTCAAGCCTCCGGTACGCTTTCGCTGGGGGGAGAGTGATGTAGCAGCCAGATTAATCAAACCTAAACGGGAATAAATAATATATACTCCGCTGCTACCATAACGCGGAAGGCGAGAAT